TTTAAATTATTCAGACTATTGTCTTCATCTGCCATATTTATCACAACGTTTTGGCTTTTCAGTATCTGTCTATATTACTGAGATGAGGTATTATGTACACTATTTACATTATTCGGACTTTTGTCCTCATTTTTTTTGCCATATTTATTACAACGTTTCGGCCTTTCAGTATCTGTCTATATTTCTGAGATGAGGTATTATGTACACTATTTACATTATTCGGACTATTTTGCTCATCTGTGTCGCCATATTTATTACAACGTTTCAGCCTTTCAGTATCTGTCTATATTTCTGTATTATGTACACTATTTACATTATTCAGACTATTTTCCTCATCTGCCATATTTATCACAACGTCTCAGCCGTTGTACGCTCCGGTCTTCTTCAGGTGGTTGGAATGTCGAAGTGAACCCTTTATTTCGATCGCTGGGGTACATAACACCTCACCTCTGAAATATAGACAGATACTAAATTATCTGAATAAAAAATTCTCGCTATTTCATGAAAGACCACCTCTACAAATCTAGATGGCGAAGAATTTGTAGGAAGTCATATATTTTATAAAATAATAAAAACAATAAAAGGATAAAGAGACAATATAAAACGCCTAGCTTAATAAAATGTTTGATGTTATAACATCAGGAAATAGGGAAAAGTGAAATATATATAAGCCTAAATATAATAAATATGTACTTATGAGTTTGAATAATGCATGAAACAAAAAAAACTACTTCGTCTAAAAAAATCACATAAATCAAGCATCACTAGTAATGTTACCACCACAAGTAATATTTCAACAACGTTTGGCTACAACGGGTTTAATTGATTAATATAAGCAGTGTTACATGATATAACAAAACCATCTGATACAAGGTGTGAGTTCGAAATAATTTTTTGTAATTCCCAGCATTAATTTCTGAAAGATATAAAAGGTCTGACAAAGAAGCTGTGTGGAACGCTCGAGTTAATGTTTCCTGGATTTTTCCTGTAAATTCTTGAAAACTGACCCTGCACTTCAAGGCCGAATATTGCATTACTTTTAACCGAGTATCTAATTAAAGACAAAGAAATCCAATACTTTGTTTTTACTCCGAATTTAGGTGAGCTAATTAGGGGTACATTTGTAAACTGGGAGAAATGCTGGAATTCACTTTCGTTTCAATCAACACAAACATCATTTTTTATTGGAAGTCTTCATAAAAAGAAAGAAATATTTCTAGTTTTCTTTTCTCGCGTTGCTATTTTCTAATTTGAATGTTTATTAAGGATCCATGATGATCTAAAGGTTTCCAACAAAAACATAGTTTATTCAAAAAATATTAAGATGCATTTGTGATGGAAAACTTTTACTCGACTCGAAGGAAGGTGTTTTACAGATTTAGCCTTTCCTCACCCACACAGAACAGTGCAAAATTAGGCACATTTAATAAATTCGATTAAATTGAATTTCTTTTAATCCTTCCCTTTCTGTCTGGATTAACATTAAAATTAATCATGATTTTTGTTAATAAGCAAACCAAAGGAATTTTATTCAAAGTTTTGCTGTAAACTAACTTTAATTCTATTTATAAGAAATCTTGCTTTTTTTTTCTTTTTTCTTCGAGATTCTTCAGGATTCTCATCAGAAATGAAATAGCAGCGTGTTGTAAGAAATCTGTAGAATCTTAAAGAATTCAGAGCAACAAATCCAACCAATATTTGTGAATAGAAACTAGCTTTTTATATTTCGAATTCAAAATTCCAGACATTTTTAAGCGAATGTAAAAAAAAAAATCCAAAGTGTCTTTAGATTATAATGCAGGATAATTATGAGAAAGTATAGCTGTTAATTTCTTCCTCTTCTTGTATAGTGAAAGACACCTATTCTATAGTTAATAGACTCTCCCAACTATAATAAGTAGGAGTAGTAAGAGTAACGAGGGAGTCGCTAAGTCGCTCAGTGAGTTGGTCAGTCAGTCGATGCCGGACGACCGTTAGTCGGATATTAAAGTATCAGCCACCACAACTAGATTACTGCGTCATACCTATTATATGAAGTTCCTAACGTTTTGTACGTCGAACCTGTTTTAGGACCGACTTAGTACAACTACAAGCATTCCCCTGTGAAATCAACTCTATAATATCTTGTAATCAAAAGTTTGAGTTCATTGACGATATTCGAGATGCTAATGCAGGGAATTTTGTATTCATGCCTGATATAATTGAAATTGTCGTAGTGCATATGTTTCAGCCTTTTGATAATCAATATGTTTCTTCTTTCTTGTTCTCGACAGCAATGAAATTTTATCGTCTTTATTAAGTCTTTCATTTTTGCAAAAAAATCGATCAATAACTTTCATTACTGATTGATTTATCTGTTCTCTTCAGCTTTAAACCAAAAACGAAAGGACTGATTAAATAATAAACTATCAATGAAGAATTTCTCAACAGGACGATCTTAAAGCCACCGATTTTGGTTCCTATCTCAAAATGATTTCGAGTTTTGTTATTTTGTATTATTTATTCGATGACAGTAGAATTTCTTCCCTTAAAAGGAATTCAAATTTGCATTTTTTTATCGATTACTTTTCACTACAGTGAACAGATACCAATCATTAAAGATCAAACTCGTAGCTGAGAGAGTTACTTTTTTTCTGTTTTGTTTTACAATCACTCGGTGTCAGCCACCTGATGTACGTGCTCATCCCTTAGAAATAAAATGAAAATCCCCTCGTATATGAACATTTATTTATTTATTTTTATAAATAAATATCAATTATATTAAGACTAATCCCGTCACGAGAATCGAACCTGGTACGTTTTTACAGACGTTGGAAATTGAGCGAAATCTTTCAGCCATTATTACATTGGCGACAAGAGACTATACATGACGATTTTATTTAATCCAAATAAAAAAAATATTTCTATTTGTTGTGAGTAAGGCACTGAAAAAAAAGAGGTTTTGGCATTAAATACGAAACAAAATCTTCAACAACGAAGTACTTTTCAGTAGAGAACGGCAACATCGAAAATAAATTGGTCGAAGTATTCTTTAAAAAATACAAAAGATGCAATTAATTTGCTTAAATGAGTTGTAAGGAATTCATATATTTCGCATTTAAGAATCAAATAGAAAAAATGTAATTGCAAAATATTTGTGGTACATTGAAAGGTTAGAGAGATTTATGAGGAACTTGTGTTTTTTAACATTTGCAACATATTACTCGTCCATTTGGTAATGGCGATTCTGTACTGAGTTGACGCGTTGATCGAATTTTGGTCATTCAGTGCTAAATACCGCAAACCAACCTACAAACATTAGCCTCGAAGTGACAATAAATATTAATATTTATGTTCATGGCTATCTACATCTCTTTATTTATCACTCATTTCGATTTTTCTCTTTTCCTTCAATATTATATATATATATAAATTTAATTCTATCGCAGTTATATATATATATATGTATATATATATACATAACTCAATATATGTATGTATATATATATATATATATATATATATATATATATATATATATATACATATATATATAACTCAATATATATATATATATTTATATCTCATATACATATAAATATTACTCAATTTTGACGTATATATATATATATATATATAACTCAATATATATATATATAACGCAATATATATATATAACTCATATACATATATATATAACTTAATTTCTGACGTATATATATATAACTCAATATATATATATATAACTCAATATATATATATAACTCAAATTCATATATATATATATATATTACTCAATTTTGACGTATATATATATAACTCAATATATATATATATATATATATATATATATATATATATATAACTCTCTCTATATATAACTCAATATATATATATAACTCATAGACATATATATAACTCAATTTTGACGGATATATATAACTCCATATATATATATAACTCAATATATATATATATAACTCATATATATATATATATATATATATATATATATATATATATATATATATATATATAACTCAATATATATATATAACTCATATACATATAAATATACATATATATAACTCAATTTTGACGTGTATATATATACATAACACAATATATATATATATGTACATAACTCATATACATATATATATATATAACGCAGTTATACGATATTAATATATCCACAAAACACTAGCAAATCTTCTCTACAAGCTTAAGAACTTTTAACCTACAATAAACTTCACTTTTGAAACTGAAACCAACTACACTCTTTCGTTCCTGGATATCATATTAAATAGAAATAATAAAGAACTCATATGATATACGTACATACATAAATATATACATATATACATACGAACATACACACATATATATATATATATATATATATATATATATATATATATATATATATATATATATATATATATATATATATATATATATATATATATATATATATATATATATATATATATATATATATATATATATATATATATATATATATATATATATATATATATATATATATATATATATATATATGTATGTGTGTGTTTCTACATGCAAACAGATTTCATGTATATGTGTGTGTAAAATACAATGTGTGTATATATTGATTCGTATCAAATGGCCAAACATTGGCTACCATGCATAAGAAAATAAAAGTGGATATTTATTTTACATTAGTCTGAAAATGTTATCTATGTATTAATATTAATAAAATATTATATTTCTTTTTTCTTTATTACTTAGATTCTGGTTTTGCTATCAACTTCACAAAATAATACAATCAGGAAATTATCATCCCTCAGGCCATTTTTTTTTTCCTTTTGACTTTTTTTTATCTACGATCACGCGATTCGTCTTTTTTTTTATCATTAACTCAACAGTACCGTGTCTTTACCTGATCACCATATTCCATCTTTCCTACCCTTGTTGAACCGTCTACCATAACCCCTACCTGCACCAAATATCGAATAAGAAACAGTTTGTGAGACATTTTAAGCACAAAAAAATAGTGTAGGAACGTACGTATAAGACGCCTGACAGCCCCAACGAAATAAAAGAAAAACGCGGAAGAGATAGATAAATAGATACATAGAGAAAGAGAGAGAAAGAGCCAGAGAGAAAAAGAGAGAGCGAGAGAGAGAGAGAGAGAGAGAGTGTGTGGGGGAGAGAGAGAGAGAGAGAGAGAAAAAAAGAGAGAGAGTGAAACTGAAGAAAAAAGTAGCTTAATATCAATAAATGTCGTCTACGATTTCGTATTAGAAACGTCTAGAAATTCTGTCGACTTCTTCGCAAATCCATCTTCGACAAGATAAGTAGCAGATGTTTAAAAGATATTAGCAAATGTCGGACGCTACTCACACTTGATCATTCATTCCGTCTCGCCGATTGTTTGTCTTCGTAAATCGAATCCTTCGTTGACATACCAAAATGCAGCTGATCTCCAGAAGTTTCATTTCGGAGATTTTCGACGTGGTCCACACAATAGTATGTGTGAACACATGTAATTAATCGGAATAGATACACGCCAACTTCACCGTAGAGGAGTGGTTAGAGGAAATCACTGTGTCCTTAGCATCGATAGGATTTAATTTAGATCTGCTTTTAGCGACCATGTTGGGAAAAGAAGCAACAGCTTTCTGAAATATTTAATCTCATGTACACTTGAGTCCCCTACCCCCATAACTAATAAAGAGATGAATATGTGGCTAGCAGGCGTTACTTCAATATTCCAAACTTTTACACATCCAATTTTGATTACATGAAAAGCAAGTTAATGTTTTAGACAAAATCTTGCTACACTATTTACATTATTCGGACTATTGTCCTCTACTTTGTCGCCATATTTAATTTATTACAATGTTTCGGGCTTTCAGTATCTGTCTATATTTCTGAGACGGGGTATTATGTACACTATTTATATTATTCGGACTATTGTCCTCATCTTTGTTACTATATTTATTACAATGTTTCGGCCCTTCAGTATCTGTCTATATTTCTGAGATGAGGTATTGTGTACACTATTTACATTATTCAAACTATTGACCTCATCTTTGTTACCATATTTATTACAACGTTTCGGCCTTTCAGTATCTGTCTATATTTCTGAGATGAGGTATTATGTACACTATAATACATTATTCGGACTATTGTCCTCATCTTTGTCACCATATTTATTACAACGTTTCAGCCTTTCAGTATATGTTTATATTTCTTAGATGAGGTATTATGTACACTATTTACATCATTTGGACGATTGTCTTCATCTTTGTCGCCATAGTGATAGGACCCAAACAGTGTGAGTTCAATACCCAGTTAAGGCAGTGGAGAACAGGGGGAATTAACAGGATTAACTGACATCCATTAAACATGGCTCGCAGAACTAGAACAGTCTACGCAAATGAGCGAAATAAAGGGTTCGGTTTGACATTCCAACCACCTGAAGAAGGCCGGAGCCTACAACGGCCGAAACGTTGTAAAAAAGACTTCTAGAAATCAAGAATTCTTTCTAGAAATTGAGAAGTCCTTCTAAAAATCTAGAGATCGAGAAATCCTTCTAGAAATCGAGTTCTAGAAAATAAGAAGTCCTTCTAGAAATTGAGAAGTCTTTCTGGAGATCGATAATCCTTCTAAAATTAGAGAAGTCCTCCTGGAAATGGAGGATTCCTATATATATATATATATATATATATATATATATGTGTGTGTGTGTGTGTGTGTGTGTGTGTGTGTGTGTGTGTGTGTGCATAAGAGTCGTATCTATATAAAAGCAAGAATTATTGAGACGACTCAACGTATACATATATGTATTAATCTAACAGTGATCTCATCTCACAATCCTCACTCTTGCTCCATATGTGGCCGCCTTTATAAATCACTAGCGGGTCTTAAATGCCACTTAAGATTATCGCACAAAATTTCATAACTGAATCAATTAAGCTGTCAGATTCTCGTAAAAACGATCCAATTCATCAGATTGTAGGTCTGATGAATTGGATCGTATTTACGATTCCAATGGAATAAATTATGACCATGGAATATTAGTGTTTAAGCCTTTTATTATAGCCTTACTCTGTCCTGGACATTGAGTTCTACCTGGATTCTATCCTCTTGGAATTTTTTATGCAAAATATATATGTATGTGTATGCATGTATGTATATATATTTATATATTTTGCATATGTATGTGTATATTTACCACTAATATTATATATATATATATATATATATATATATATATATATATATATATATATATATATATATATATATATATATATATATATATATGACTATATATATATATGGCCATATATATATAAATATATATATATATATATATATATATATATATATATATGACCATTGTTTTTGCTTGAAATTTGGCGCTTAATGTGTAGAACCTACTGCAATGATTAAGTAGGTTTTCCTATGAATCTTCAGATTCAGTGAGTGATGTCTGGGATAACGTTTTCGCACTGACGCTTCAAAATTGGCCAAGAATGCAACCCAATTTCTAAAGTGCCTCAACGAACACCAACCCCTAAAATGCTGAACGCATACGATTCACGATCATAGGAAAACATCAGCTGGCTTCAACTATGGATAAATATCAGCCTTGGATAGCAACTGATGTAGGAGAAGGACAACTCTGAATTCAAGGCCTGCGGAGGGTCGTTTGAGATATTGTGACAGTGCACCACATCTCTGTATTCGGTCCATCAAAAAGTGTGATTGGCTCTGCATAAAGCCTTCACCACTACAATGCTGGTGTCTGGCTGTCGGTTCCTAGGAACTCAGCTGCTTGACCCTCATACGTTGAATACGACAGGAGTGTCCACTATACATATATATATATATATATATATATATATGAAAAAGTATGTGGAGTAGGTAGAGTCACATGAAAGATAAATAAAAATTTAGAGAAAAATACCATTTTTTCTATTTTAGTAGGAGCCTTTTTCAAATATCAGAGTCTTAATATATATATATATATATATATATCTTAAAAAGGCTAATTGAGACTTGCTTTGAAGTGAGGCCTTCCATGGCTACGCGGTTTAAAGTTTTCATACATTAAAAGTGGTTTTCCCTATGTCGGGGAGATTTAGTTTCGATTCCTGCCTGGACACACACTTTGTTTATTAAAACTTTCGTTTGCTCAGGTCGGTCGATGTCAATTACACCATTTAAAAAAAGTAAACAAAAAACAGGACGTCTACTCAAACACGTGTATCTGTCTATCTTGCAAAAGTTTAATCCAGACCTCAGTTGTTAGTCATATAATTGCAAAAATGTTAAGTTCTGAAAATCATAAAAAAAAGACAATTTTTCATTTTTTACAGTAATTTTGTGGAAACCACGTGAAAAATTTAATTACGTGTGGCGAGTGTCTGGGTACTGGATAAGGGTGTGTAGCGTTTCAATGCTCTAAATGGAATTTGGATAGAAACATTAGAATATTTTCTCTGGTTATATGTTGCGTCAGAGAATAACGTTGTATTTTTGTGTATGTGTCTTTTTTTCGTGTGTTTTTGAGCGAGGAATTTCCATTTATCAGACTTCCCAGTTAATCTCCAAATCCCCAATCAGAGATTAGTGATGGCAGATTAATAAAGCTGTCGATAACTTCACCAAACTAATTCAGAAAGGATAAAACGGAGCGTATAAAATCTGATTGTGGTGCCAAACTTTTTTTCTTTTTATTTGCTCACATTTTTCTTCCTTTTTTTCTTCTCTCTTTCCTTTCCTATTTTTAAAAAATTTCCCCCAGTTTTATATTTCGTCTTGTCTTTTCTTTCCATTTTTTTTTCCTTTTTGCTTAGCATCTTTAATTATCTCTTTCATTTTTATTCTCCCTTCTTCATATTTGTTCATCCATTTTGTCTCTCAGTAGTTGAGGTCATTGCAGATTTTCCCATCGTTTCAATTGATTGCTTTTTGAGCCTTGGCAAAAATCAGCAGCTAGAATGCAGATGTTAAAATTTTGCAGGTCTCCTGACATGAGACATTAGTGCTGCACAATCTTCTAATCTCCGTTTGACATTTTTACTCATTGAGATAAATTTAGAAATACTTAGAGTTCTACATCAGTTAGTCTGCTTAACGATTTTTCCTTTCATCCGTTTGTTTTTAAGTTTCGCGCCAAAACAAAAAAAACAACAAAAACAAACAAGCAAAAAAACAACAAACATTTTAAGTAAAAGAAATCAAATTCTAACATCGATCTATCACACCTTCGTTGCATTATGGCCGATTTCTTTATGAACGATATTGTCGTGAAGCATCAGAATTTTCGTAAATTGGATTTTTGGCAGGTATTTAAGCCCGAAATACTAGAGACAATTTTATTAATTTCACTGTTTAAGAAAAAACAAAAACAAAAACAAAACACAAAATAAAACAGAAAAAACAAAACAAAATAAAACACAAAACAAAACAAAACAAAACATAGAAATAAAGAAATAGTGTTGAATATAAAAAATCTGTTAAAAAATAAAGACTATTCCCTCAACAGGAATCGAACCTGTACCCACCGGTGAAAACAGCGTCTGTAGCCGAAACGTGCCTTTACCACTTTGGTCACGGAGGCCGCATTATCAGAGCAAATTTTAATTGACTTATTTAAGGAGCGAAAACTTATCGTTGGAAACATAGACTAGCTTCAGTTATTTTTAAAAGGATTTTTTTAAACTCGAAAATAATGTTAAAAAATAATTTCGGATTAAAAACCCATTTTCAAATTAATATTCAGAAACTATTTCTATATGAAACGTAAACAAAATTTACTTTTTGAGTTGATTTTTTCCCCCGACATTTATTTATTATTATTATTATAAACGTTGTTTTTTTGTGGCGACACGTATTTGAGTTGCTATGAAATATCGTCTCCAGAAGCGATTTCATTTATGGATACAGGTTCGAATTTTAAGTAGCACTTCTCAATACAGACCAGTTCTTATTAATTTCTCTGTCTAAGAAAATTAAAAAAACGAAAAGAGAGCAACTCAAATATGCAAAGCAAAACTAAAAATAATGTTTATAATGATAAAAAAATAATGTCGAATAAAAAAATCCATTTAAAATCTTTGCATGTGTTTTTGAGAGTGAAAACAAAGGAAATATTTTGTTTGAGATCTCTTCCTACGTTCTGTCCTGGGTAAGACGTTAAACTACATCCGCGTCCTGGGTAAGACGATAAACTACATCCAGCAGCAAGGTCTCTCATCAGAAGGTTTTGAGGAGCGTGGAACCACTTCTTAATTGCTGGTGTTCCCAGGTCCACCCTGACCCGGGGTGGTAGCACCTGTTAGGGTCCCAGCTATGGACAAATAGTTAACTATTACCAGCAATACGTTTTGAAAAAATATTACCAGCAATACAATTTTGAAGGAAAAATATTACTAGAAACAGATTTTTGATAAAACAAAATATTACCAGCAATAAAAAAAAAATTGTCGGTACTAAATAACCCATTGAGATTGATATGCCATAACCCCCCCCACAAAAAAAAAAAAAAAACAAAAACAAATAAACCAATCTTCCTACGTTGAGGAATTTTTTTTTCATGGATTCCTGGGAAAAATGACCCCAATCTTGTGAGTTCTTTTTGCTTTCATTAGCCGTTATCAAAGCTTATTTAAGCGTGTGATGACAGCTTATGAAAGTTGAAAGCACTCAAAAGACATTGCATAATTTATGTTCAAATGCTTTCACTAAACTTACATAAACTAAACAATTATTCTATTTACATTATTCGAACTATTATCATCTTTGTCGCCATATTTATCACAACGTTGCGACCGTTGTACGCTCCAGCATTCTTCAGTTGGTTGGAATGTCGAACAGAATCCTTTATTTCGTTCACTGGGGTAGACTGTTCTAGTTCCACCTGCCATGTCTAATGGATGTCAGTTATCTCCTGTTAATTCCCCTCTCCAAGTTCTCCACCGCTTTAACCAGGTATTGAACTCACACTCTTTGGTTCCAGCCACTGGATCTAACTAACGGCTTTATCTATTATGCCATGTGTTCTTGAGGATTTGTGCATGAATTTCTGGGTATTATAAACCTAATGTCTTCTGTAACCGTTTTTACCAGTACTCATATTGCAATTTTTGCAGTTATCATTTCATGTTTTTACCAAAGCTTATATTGCAATTTTTGTTGTTATTATCGCTTTTTCTCTGGCACGCCTTATTACGAAGCGTTGCAATAAATATGGCGACAAGGATGAGGACAATGGTCCGAATAATGTAAATAGTGTACATAATACCTCATCTCAGAAATATAGAGAGATACTGAAAGGCCGAAACGTTGTAATAAATATGGCAAAAAAAAAAAAATGAGGACAAAAGTCCGAATAATGTAAATAGTGTACATAATACCTCATCTCAGAAATATAGTCAGATACTGAAAGGCCGAAACGTTGTAATAAATATGGCGACAAAGATGAGGACAATAGTCCGAATAATGTAAATAGTGTACATAATACCTCATCTCAGAAATATAGACAGATACTGAAAGTCCGAAACGTTGTAATAAATATGGTAACAATGATGAGCACAATAGTCAGAATAATCTAATGAGTGTACATAATACCTCATCTCAGAAATATAGACAGATACTGAAACAATTACTGTCGGGAATCCACTAAAATATAGATTGAAGTCATTTCTGGAACACATGATGAGGAAAGAATGCGTAGAGAATTTGAAACAGGCAACATAGTGAATACATGAGAGATGCGGGAAACATTGAGTAACCAACCCAACGAACTTGTGTTAATGGATAAAAGAACTGGGTCTGGGAGAGAGATTAATGTGAAAAACGTGGTTTTAGATCTACAAAGCTTTGGAAGTTGTGGTGGGCCACGGTCGCCCACATGCTGTGGGGATAAAAGAATAAAAGAACATAAAAGAAAAAGAAACACTCAATGTTTCGCATCTAGAAAATTCTTTCTGCTAGTATTATTTTCTTATGGTTAGCATCTGAATAACTAAATTCTCACTACGTTTTAGTGACTTTTTGTCCCGTTAATTTATTATAGGCATTGTCTGCCCACTTTCCACAGTCATGCCGAAAAAATCGATTGAGTAAAGTCTTTTGCCTTTTTATGCTTTCTTTCCTTTAAGCGATCAACTCCGCCATGTTCCTTCTCTCTACAAACTCGGTGTAGTCTTTGCCGACGGGCCGGTTTGATGTCAGCGTTGACCTCTTCCCACTGATAGCAAGTAACTTTAGATGTTTGCAATCAAAGAAAACGTGTGATTTTATTTGTTTTCTTATTTTGCATGGTAGGTAAGTTGCTTTTTTATATCCGACATTTTTATCTGCTAGCAACCATCTTGGGAAGGCGGGAAAAAGAGTGCCGCGTATATTTATTGTCTCATTAGGGATTTGAGAGAGGAAAAAAGCCGAAAGACAATAGCGCAAAAAGAGGAAAAGAAACGAGAAAAGACAAACGCAAAAGTAGAAAGGAAAAAAAATTAAAAATAAGAAAAAAGAATATTACAAGACGAATGGAAAGGCCAAGCAAATAAAAAAAAATATTTCTAGATGAATAAGTTCGAGAAAAATGAGGAAATACCGTTGGTAATATGCACAGATATACAAAAGAATAAATTTATGAAGAAAAAACAAGTGGGCAAAGAAAGAGAGGAAAAACAGGAAAAGAACGAAAGGAAAAGAAAGAAAAGAACGAAAGGAAAGAAAAAGAACGAAAGAAAAAAGAAAAGAAAGAAAGCCAAAAAGAAAAGAACGAAAGGAAAAGAAAGAAAAGAACAAAAGGAAAAGAAAGAAAAGAAAGAAGGAGGAAAAAAAGAAAAGAACGAAAAGAAAAGCAAAAAAAGAAAGAAAGGGAAAGAAAAAAGAAAGAAAGAAAAAGCAAGAAAGAAACGAAAGGAAAAGAAAGAAAAGAACGAAAGGAAAAGAAAGAAAAGAAAGGAAAATCAACGAAAGGGAAAGGAAAAAAAGAAAGAAACGAAAGGAAAAGAAAGAAAAGAACGAAAGGAAGAGAAAGAAAAGAAAGAAGGAGGAAAAAAGAAAAGAAGGAAAAGGAAAGCAAAAAAAAAAGAAAGAAAGAAAGGAAAAGAAAGAAAAGCACAAAAGGAAAAGAACGAAAGGCAAAGAAAGAAAAGAACGGAAACAAAAGAAAGGAAAAACAACGAAAGGAAAAGGAAAAAAAAAAAAGAAAAGACTGAAAGGAAAAAGAAGGGAAAGAAAAAAAAAAAACGAAAGGAAAAAAAGAAAAGAATGAAAAGAAATGCAAGAAAAGAACGGAAGGATGAAATAATAGAACGAAAGTAAAAAGAAAGAAAAGAAAGTAAAGGAAAAAAAAAGGAAAATTAACGAGAAAAAAAATATATATATATATATATATATATATATATATATATATATATATATATATATATATATATAGGTTAATGGTCAGAGTTAAATCAGACCAGAAAACGGTACTCAATACACGTGTGAAAAAAATAAAAGTAAAAAATAACATGTAGAGGTTTTAATTTTAAAAATCAGGAGGTCAATTGAATCCGCTACCTTTGTTTCAATCTTTCGGTATCCTCAGGCAATAAAGCGTTAAGAGGTCATTACCCCTTAACACTTTATTTTAAAAAAAAACCCCTAATGTACGGTATATTATTATTATTTTTTTTAATAAATGAACAAACGCACGACGTTGGGTGTAATAGAAAGGGAGCAGGAGGATGTGAAGAAGAAGAAGACGAAGAAGAAGAAGGGGGAAGAGAAGAAAAACAAGGATATTATAAAAGTACCAGTGGGGCTTTAATTGAAATCTACATTATTTTTATCCAGCCTCATATGTTCTTAAGAGGAATTCTTTTAATCTGTATGCAAGGATTGAGGACTTCAGTTTCTGGATCAAAAGGTTCTTTGAATCCGGAAATTCAACTGAATATATATATATATATATATATATATATATATATATATATATATATATATATATATTCAGTTAATTTATATATATATATATATATATATATATATATATATATATATATATATATATATATATATATATGATCAGAATTTTATTCTCTTAGTAGATTTAACATGCTGGGCGTAACGTCTGCACAAGTGTTGGAGCAATCAGTTTTGTGACTTTGTCAATGTTCAATATTTAGTTTTGTGATTTTGCAAGAATTAAGCGATTCATTTTGTAACTTTTTTTTCGCGTTGCGAGTTTCGAATTAAAAATACATTTTTGTCACTTTCTCGCACAGTCAAAAAATCAAGAATCGTTTTCGGCGTACCAATCGATACTACAAACACTCAAGGAAATCCCAAAGTATATCGAAGGAAAATTTGTATCAAACGCAAAGAGGGAGTAATAGTAAAAAAAAAAAAGAAAAAAAGTGAGACAAATATTGAAAATAAAAATAAAAACAGAACTGTACAATAAAATAATAAGCTTCTTTTTTCCTTAAATATGAATAACCAATGGCCGCTCCCCATTGATTTTTAAGAAATATTTCTTAATTTATTTTAATCATTATTTACATAGTTTAATGCAGTTCAGTTTTAGTTCAGTTAGTTTGAGCTTCTTAAAATTATTTCAGTTTTAATTTTCAAATTCTCTTTGCATTTCCATTGCAGAAATGTTTCTTTTCTGCTTTATGTGTTATCCATTATTATTATTATTGTTTTATTTCCTTTGTTTTCCGGTGTATATTCATTTCTTTCCGGGCCCCGACCAGAGACCTAAGTTCAGAAATGGTATCATCACATTTTCCACTGAGCATTTTTGAAAAAAATATCGCATATATTTTACATAGATAAAGTGTGGGCTCTACTTAGAATTACAATTTTTGTTTTGTATTTCTTTAAAGCATAGGCTACCAGGGATTGCTTCAATAAGTCTATTAGAATCTTTTCCAATCAATCCGAGTGCTCCAAATACAACTGGAATTATTAATGTCCTCATGTGCCCCATTTTTGAGATTTCGATTTCAAGGACCTTGTATTTTGATAGTTTTTTTTTTTTTAAAGATTTTCAAAGATACATTGCTGTCCGAATGAAGTGCCATATCAATAAAGAGGCACATTTTGTATTTGCGGGATCTGATCACGATGTCAGGGCGATTAGCTTTGGTCTTTCTGTCTGTGAGTATTGTAAAGTCCAATAATAATAATAATAATAATAATAATAATAATAATAATCATTATTTACCATTCTCTCCGACTCTTAGATGTTTCAACCCGGTAATGATGTAATGATGAGCATACCTCAAATCTTAGTCGTAGTTTAGAGACCCAAAACTTTCCTCGGCACATGAACTGTTTCAAGCAGTGCTGCCACCTGCGCACACCCAATGATCTCAGAATGCGATTTGAATAGCAGAAAGATTTCAACAGAAATAATACAACAAAAACTGCTGTTTTGTATATTTGTTAGATTCACCAATGTCTTTAACGTCTATCAGTATGCATTGCTGTCTGCTCCTCTGCACACGGGTGATATTAGCGCGATTGCTCTCCAAGCGCTTGTCATCTCAAGATGACCGTATTCCCATATGAGCTTCATTTTTGCTATCATTCTCAGTTACTGGCGGTGATATATGTTGGTACCACTTCCATACGCTCAAGAGGTCATATATCCAATGCATAGTTCCAATGTATTATGAGGTGCTGTGATACTTTGTCAGGGTGTTGGCTGTACTCTTTGGGTGCCAGTTGAGTTCAGCCGCTAACGTTGGGTTGCGCACTTTCTGAGGCTTTCTTGCACAATCGTCACAAGAGTGGATCACTTGTATTTGTATTTTAAGAGAGTACGAGATAGACTTTGTTCTTAAAATCTTCTCTTGCGCTGCAAAGATCATCCTTTCAGATCCCAACTCTACGATTCCTGATCTTCCACCTCTTCGTTTTCTATGTGCAAATGGTCTGGATTTTTCCCCTTCTATCCATCGGCAATCTCCTCATAAATGATCTTTTTCCCATGACAGGCTAACGTTTCTCTTTCAATACTGAATTTTTCATTACGCTCACCATTTAACATCTACTGATTATTCTGCAAGTACTAGTGAAAGGACTTACATTTTGATAATTATTATTATCATTATTATTTGCATAATACCCGTAAAATGACTAAACTTTGGCCTAGGATTAAAATATCGACATGCACTGCCAAGGATCGAATTAGTATTTGTACCTACTGTAAAAATTGTTATAATCATCCCCTCATATATATATATATATATATATATATATATATATATATATATATATATATATATATATATATATATATATACAGTGCCACGCAAAAAGTTTACAACACAATACAAAAAAATGTTTGTTTAGGTATTTTTAACGTAGTCAGATTAATGAAACTTTTACATACATATGTTTAAGCCTTTAGTCAAACAGTCAGATTTTAAAAAATAATCAATAAAAATATCCCACGAAGAAAAACCAATATTTAATAACTCAAAAGTTTACAATACATTTATTAAATCATCTATTAATATTTCGTAGTGTAACCGTTATTGCTAATTACAGCATGTAGGTATTTAGTCCCCTACAAATTTCTTGCATGTTTCTTGGCTAATATCTTTCCATTCTTCACGACAAAATCCCTTTAGTTCATGCATCTCTCCATAAATTTTCAGTCGGATTGAGATCTGGAGATTGACTTTGTCATTTTAGAACATCTATTCTTTTTGAACTTACCCATGATTTTGTAAGCTTTGCAGTATTGTTTAGGATCGTTGTCTTGTTGAAAGACACAACCTGGTTTCAAGCACAGTTAATGTTCACTCTGACGTAAATTTATATCCAAAATATCCCCATAATATGCTTAATTCATCCTCCCTTCTATTATTTCAATGTTCCCTACACCTTGGACACTAAAGCAACCCCAGATCATGATTGATCCGCCTCCAAACTTTAATTTTGGGATAGTATTCTTCGGTGAATATTCAGTTCCCTTCTTTCTCCAGATCTTTTCCACAGAATTTCTGCCAAAAACTTCAATTTTCGTTTCGTCTAACAAAAATACATTTTCCCAAGATGCTGCAGTTTTAATTCAATGCTCGTTTGCAAAATCCAGTTTAGCAAGAACGTTTTTAAAGATGTCATATCGACGAAGTGAACGACTACTTGTATCTTATCCACTTTTAATCCACTTACTCCTCGTCCTCCCTGAAGTTCTTTAAAAAAACTGATTCTATGACTGAATACCTAAATATATGCTCTACGAGCAGTATAAGTTAATTAATGTAACTCTATTACAAATTCCTAAAAGAAAGTTTTGTAATAATGTGTTGTAAACTTTTGCGTTGCACTATATATATATATATATATATATATATATATATATATGAATAGAAGGAAAAAATAGTCAGATTTATAATCCAGAGTTCTTTAGCATTTTTTTTGTGTTCGATACACAGTATAGCATAATTTTATAATTATAAATATGTTTTCGAAACCAAAACCTAAATCTTAAATTAAACTTAAATTTTAATTTTTTTTTCCAATTTCTTCCAAAAATGATTTACTCTTTTTTATAAGCTAAATATATATATACAGTTTATGTTCGTGGGGGAATGAAATTATAAAATTTTTTAAGGGGTGTTGATTTGTTGATGAATTAGGATAACTGAAAATTAAGGTGGCAAAGTAAATAGCGGTTAAAGGTTAGGTGTGGGTTTTTCTGTCTGTTGATACTGGCTTCCTTATATGAGAACGTGTCATCACTATTTGTTTTTTTAAGATGCACTACATTACAATTGGCATTATTTATTTTTTTTTTTATTTATTTTCTTATTTTATAAAATGCATTGGGATTTTCTTAAAGGGACTTTCTAATATGATTAAGTCATATTTTTTATATTCATTTTTTTATTTTTAAAGATCTAAAATACTATATTTATTATATTTATTAATAAACTATATACGGTATTATAAAATCAAAATATTAGAATTTAATATTTATTTACGCATTTTCTTACTTATTTTTGATCAAATAATAGATATATAATTATGCAAATTTCTTTCTTTGAGAAAATCCCAATGTATTTTATAAAATAAGAAAATAAAAAAAATAAAAATGCCAATTGTATTGTAGTATATGGTGAGTATTTAGATGCAAAATATAATTAAAAAAAGTTTTTGAAAAAACTCTATCTCACGCCAGAAAAAAAAACTCTATCCTACGCCAGAATTATGACAAACTGATATATTTTCAAATTATATATAAGTAACTGTCAGTGCACCCTCAGCACCTGATGATTGCGTTTGGCATGAAACCTCGAGTCATGCAAACAGTGTGGGATTATATGAATATTTATTAATATATATACTTTATATCTCTGTTTCAATAATACCAACAGCATTTCATATATTTATATATTTACATTACAAGGAAAGTAGACTAAAACGTACAGAAAAAATGTTTTTAAAAAAACTTAATCACTTGTCAGTCGTTTTTAATGAAACTTGTATAAAAGTGGGATTGTTGCACAAATACAAACAGGCATACACACACTTTATATATATATATATATATATATATATATATATATATATATATATATATATATATATAGCGTTTATATATATATCACGTATATAATGCGGTATAGCGTTGATAAATGTCACGTATATAATGGGGTAAAAGTTCCCTTTATCCGTGCGCCAATAGAGCCTAGAGGTAAGAGTCTCTGACTGGAAGTCAAAAACAAGCAACACGCATGCGCGAAATTAAAAACATAAAATGGCGACAAATTGCCCATCGCACCCTCTCTATATGTACGTATGTATTGTTGTCGACATATATATATATATATATATATATGTGTGTGTGTGTGTGTGTGTAAAAATATATATATATATATATGAATAAATACTTAATCCTTACTGACGCGTTTTGTTAAGTTTTTATAAAAGTTAATTTCATTACAAGAAAATTGGTATTAAACAACAGATGTTTGTTATATTTTCAGGACACACTAGTATTTTATATTAATTCCACCTTATAATGTCTGTTTTAAATTAGAAATAAATACTATGGATTATTTAGTAGTGGAAGATTTTATTATGCACCTGGAGCGTTGTTCATTATATTGTAAATAAATATTATAAATAAATGCACATATTAGTATTATTAATGTCAATTACTTTTTAATTTCAGATATTAAAAATATTGCTATTACTTGAGAGAAACAGAATATTGTAAGTTCTCGAGTGATGGAAATACAAGCTTCGGAATTGGTAAAAATTTGAAATCATGGGAAAATATTAAAAAGAAGTTGAGATCATTGGTAAGAATGAGAAAATAACTGTAATGATGTCATCGAAAGAGAAGCTGAGAAAAATTTAACTTGTGTTAAGCAATGAAAATGTATCGAATACAAGAAAATATTTGAAGAAACGGATGCAGCAAATGCACAAAAAGAGAAAAAGATGCAGAATATTAAGAACATTGGCTTTAAACATGAAAGCAATCAACC